CATAGAAACTTCTTCCATTTTCCTCTTTCCCAACAATATTTCTTTCAAGAACTTAGTGTATTTCAGAATCTTTATAATAATGTCTAAGAAAGGGATTGTTACTTTCAATTGCTCAAGGCATCCTTACATATGTACATTCATGATATAGATCATTTTTGAATAACCATACAGGATAAGGAGCTTTTGGTGTTGGATCGGGTGCTTGAATCTTCTTAGACTTCTCCTCATCTTCAATCTTGATTTCGTTAGTAGGTTGCACTTCTTCCCGAACTAACTCTTTTTCTTGAACAACTTCATGTTGAACTTCTCTTACGGTGTTGAGATAGGAACCTCCTTCAAAGGTCGGCAACTCCTTAGAGTTACCGCATGACATCCCTCCTTAGAATTAGGCTCGGTATTGCCCGGTAAAGTTCCTTGTGGTCTTGACGATAGAGCTTGTGCCAACGAGCTTAGTTTGGATTCAAGATTTTGAAGTGAAGCTTGTTGATTCCTTTAACATGATTCCAAACTGGAGCATTGGGTCGTAGTATTCTCTATGAATTTGTCAATAGCCTCAAACTTCTTGTTGGAGTGTCTAACAAATTGGCCTACCTAGTCTTCAAGTTTAGAGACTTGATCATCGGATGGTTTACTTTGTTCTTTGTATGCTCCTCAGTATGAGGGTTGACTCGGCCTTGGGTAAGCATTTTGCATAGGGGCTTGAGATTGAAACCCCGGAGGCTTTCTATCCGTCGAAGAAGACCAAAGAAAGTTAGGATGGTTCCTCCGACCCGCATTATATGTAGAACTATAAGGGTTGTTTCCTCGGGATTTCTTTCCAACAAAGTTGGCTTGCTAAAATTGTATCGAGGCCTCAATCATAGACTTACACTCCTCCATGGTGTGACTCGAGTCGCCACACCAATCACATTTCATGAGTGCTTCCCATTTCCTTTCATTGATGATGCAACTTGATCAATTTTCTTGGAAAGTTCTTGTATATGAACCGTTAACGAAGATGGTTCTTCAATCTTCAATAGATTTCCCTTCTTCGCACTCTTACCTCTCCTTCTGTCCCCCCCCCCCCAATCGTACCTATTGAGGGCCATTTCTTCTATCAATCTTTGAAGTTCATCGGCTTCCTTGTTCCTTATGGCACCTGCACTAGCCGCATCGATGAGTGGTGTGACTCCCTTGTTAAACCATTATAAAATTTTTCCACTTATAACCAATAGGCGATGCCATGGTGTGGACATTTGAGTAGGAGAGACGTAAAACTTTCCCATGCTTCAAACAATGGTTCATCCTCCTCTTGACGAAACTAAATGGTGTGTACCTATTTAGAGCCGTCTTAGAAGGTGTAATGTATCGTGCAAAGAACTTGTTGCGTAGGTCATCCCACGAGACGATGGAGTGATGGGGATGGTTATTCAACCATTGCTTTGCCGCTCCATTTAGAGTAAACGAAAATAACCTCAGATGAATTGCCTATTAAGGAACCTCGCTCTCCTTGATTCCATTTGTCAACTCGTAGAAGACATGATATTTGCATAAGCATCTTCCCCCATCATCCCATTGAATTGAACCGCACTTTGAAGCATCAAAATTGTGCCCGCCTTAATCTCATAGTTTTTGTTCGCACTGTTGGGTGAAGAATAGGTGATTGAACATTATCCACACTAGGCCTTGAGTAAGATCCCATTGTTCTAGGCCTTGGTGGAACTTGAGGTTGTTGTTGTTGTTGTTGTTGGTCCGCCATTGGTGGAGGTTGATGTCTCACAACTCTTCTTAGATTCCGAAGGGTTTTCTCGATTTCTATATCAAGAGGTAATATCTCTAAAGGGTCTCATATTCACATACAAAAGTGCTACAAGACACAAACTTAACAACTCGTGACGCACAAAGCTGGATAACAAAACACAAAATGATAAAAACTACGGAAGTAACACACCCAAACAAAAACAAAAGGAAAATAAAGGCTAAACTAACAACTCGATGGTTTTCTACTAGTTACCAAGGTTCCTCGGCAACGACGCCAAAAAGCTTGATCGATTCAATCGTGCAAGCCATTGTCAATAGTTAGCACGTTTCAATAACTACCCCATCCTACGCCAAGTTTAACCTAGAGTGGCGTTGTCATATAGTGGAAATCAAGGTCATTATCACTCGTGTCCCGGTACCCTAGCCCACTTCCAACTTTGTTGTTATCTACCCATCGTTTTAAGGGTTTGTGCTAGAGGATTCAAGCGAAATAACTAGTAAAGAGTGTAAATAAAGATAAAAGTAGGTACTTCGGGGAACTATCCCTCACCCTAGCCTAGGTCTACTATGAAATGTCTAGATAAGTAGGATTTTTCGAATGTGATGAGTGAGCTCTTTTCAGAGGCTTTCGTGGTTATCCACACGCCTCCGAGTACGCCTCCCCTAAACCCATGTCAGTCACCTCGATCTAGGCTATCAAATCTGGGGCATTAAGAACATAGCTCATTACAATTGGTACTACCACCGTCCACACCGAGGTTTATCTCGGGTTTTATCTAGCAAGGCATTCTTATGGTAGGGGTACGGTCGCCTCATCCACCATAAGATCTTATTCATACATCAAACTTTAATTTGCTTGATGGTGCATACCCGTCTAACCCTAAAACTCCATAACCAGCGTAGAAGCTCAAGTAGGCTAGTAGAACTTCCTCGTGGTCAATGTGAATTATGGTCGTGAACGGACTGGGAAAACTCTTGGTTTCTCCTCGATTGTCTTCTTCACGAAGTTCACGCTCGAAGGCTCCTAATTCGAGGTCGTGATCTTGGGCTCTAAGGCCGCGATCTTCGCCTTGAGTTCGCAGTCTTTGTTCTCACCCCTGATCTCCTTCTCCAGGCCGTGATCATCAACCTTCTACCTCTTTTGCTACACTTGTGTCCTTTTCGTACCTAATTCGCATGTATTGTCTAAAGCACTCTAAAATCACATCATAATCAAATAGGAACGAAATAGGGATGCAATCGACCCTATTCAAATGATTATGCACATGAATTAGCACAAAATAAACCTAAGTATGAAGGGTAAATAACACCTATTTAGGTGTTATCATCAGCCCGCGAACTCCTAGAAGATGAAGACGAAAAAGGCGACGCCTGAAAATCGCACGCTCGAAGGAAAGATCACGACAACGATCTCCCCCTGCTCGGTCGTGAACTTGTCCGTCCTCCTGAAGTCTATAAATAGAGAACCTCTTCCCCATTTTAAGATAGCTGATTTTGAGATGGAAATTTATAGTATAGAGAGAGAGAGAGAGAGAGAGAAGCTGAAGGAAGGAGAAGAAGAGAAGCTAGATGAGAGAAGTCATCTTCTTCAACACCAAGCCTTCCCCAAATTCTTATATGTATCTTCTTCCCTCCTTTATAGAGTAGTCTCTTAAGGTGCTATGGGTTTTAACTCCCAAACCCTAGTGTTAGGGCTATTATGTGATGAATGAATATGCTAGGGTTTTAAATGAATGTGCTTGTCTGGTTGATTTTAATGCTTCTTCTAGCTTTAATTATGCTTGGGTAAGTCGTCCTAATATTCTCTACTATCCTACTTGAGCTTCTACGCTGGGTATGGAGTTTTAGGGTAGACAGGTATGAGCCTTCTGGCATATTAGGGTTAGATGAATGAATAGGGTCTTGTGGTGGACGAGGCGACCGAACCCCTACCACAAGAATGACTTCCTAGATGGAATCCCGGATGAAATCTTGGTGTGGAGGGCGCGTAGCACCCATTGAAAAGAGCTAAGTTCTTAAAGCCCCATATACGTGAGCCTATACCGAGGTGACAATTAGGTAGGTAAGGCGTGTGGATAATCATGAAAGCCCCCGAAAAAGAGATCACTCACCACATTCGCTTAACCCAACATGTTTAGACATTTGCATGATAGACCTAGGTTAGGGCGAGGGTTAGTTCCCCTATGTACCTGCTTTTATCCCTATTCTCTCTACTAGTTATTTCACTCGAATCCTCCATCACACCCTCTTAATCAGATAGGCTAGATAACAACAACATGCAAAGTAGGCTACGGTACCGTGACCCGAGTGAACACAACCTTGATTGCCACTATATGACAATGCCATTATAGGTTAAACTTGGCCTAGAATTTGGTAGTTATTGATACGTGCAAATTACTGACAATGACCTGCACGGAATGAATCAATTAGTATGATAAAATAAATTTGATTCGACCTACTTGCCCCTTTTTCGATCCACCCTGACCCTAAAGGCAGCGGCGGATCCAGAACACAGTTGCGCACTGGGCCGCATTTCATTAGAAATTAGATACCGTAGAAAGGATAATGATTTTATTTTTTTACAATGTCAATTGTTCACGATGGTGTTTTAATTTAGCGAATGCATCAATAATGGAATCTACATCCATACCAATAGTATGCTCTGTTTCAAATAAAATACTTGAGGTACCAGTGAGTAATTCATCGCTCATTTGGTTGCGCTAATCAATTTTCACATGTTTCATTGTTGATAAGGTTCTCGTCGTAGAAGTTGCTGAAACGGACAACGTCAACACTAAAATCAATCGACTAATCAACTTCCATTGTGTGTCTATCCCTATATCCAACAACTGCTCTAGTAAATTTTCAATGGAATAAATCTCATATTTCTTTTATTAGTCTTTTACACTTTAGACTTTTCGATAAATTTTCAATGGAATAAATCTCATATTTCTTTTATTAGTCATTTACACTTTAGACTTTTAGAATTTTAGGTTTCCTTGTTTTGTTTAGATGAAAATCTTTGGGGTTAGAATTTATAAGCTAAATTTATAGTAGTTATTTGCATATGGTCATATGAATTATTTTTCTAGTTACACACAATCTTATTACAAAATAACACTGAACCGAATGTCTAAAATCAAAAAATTCATAAGGACTATACTAACTTTGGATCCAGAGGAGGGCTGGGCCGTGGCCTGGGTTGGCCACCCCCTGGATCCGCCAATGCCTAAAGGTCATCAGGGTCAAGAAGAAAAAAAGGGCAAAGCAAGACGGATCAGTTATATATATTGACCCTTCAGATACGGGTCTGACTACGGTCGGGGAATTTTCAGCCCCTAAATTATACAGTTATATAAAGAGATATTAGTGCATATACCGTTATACAATATATAACATCTCTCTGCAAAGAATCTTTGATGTTTTGAGAATGGCTGCATCATTACTTCATTTACAGTGTCCAAAACAACAGCATACAAGAGTAAAAGAAGTGGCAGCTGAAGCGTCGAATTGGTAGACAAGAAGGAACCGACGGGATGCAATAATTGAGCAATCAGATGGAGTCTTGAACTAAGCTGTGTGGCAACATTAGCTTCATCATGTGTCCCAGATATCACAATCCTCATGCTTCTCCGTGGATAATGATCAAGTACTCCAATTTTGGCACCTGAAATCTGATTCCCCGGAAATCCCATACATGTAAACATTATACCCGATAGAAACAGAGACAGCAGACGAAAAGAAATTCAGCTACCCCAGGTAGATAAGCATTTTGTTCATCAATGACAGAAACCTACATTTCTACTATACATACGATAATGTTATGTTGTAGGTCCGCAAACCACACTACCAATACCCTGAAACCCGGACCACTGATAATAATACAACGAACCCAATTTGCCATCAACTGAACTGCCCGCCATATGATCATATGCTGCTGCAAATTTAGTTATCCTGGCGTAGCCGCGGGTATGGACTCTAGTGATGATTAAAGATACATAAAGGAAGCAATGATGACCGGCGAATTGGGTCTGAACTCTGAAGAGAATACGGAAAGTCATGCTACGAAACGGAGTCTACCTGCGTCTCATCATCTTCATCCATAGAAACGTCACCAGGTTTTCTGTCCTCCTCCCCATGTTCATCGCTGTCCTCTGTCTCTGAATCCAACACACATCCACCTTTGCCACCATCGTCATTCTCGGTATCGCTGCAACACTCAGTATCGGAATTTGACAACAAATCCCGCCTTTCTTCCTTCTCCATATCATCATTCACAGAGCCGTGGGCAACAAATTGCTCCTTCAGATCAGGAGCAACAATTCCAATCATCTCGGTCAATGCTTGATATTCACGTTCATTCTGCTTTGCGACTGCAGCAGCAGCATTTGAAGGTGGTGTGCTTTGACTCTCTGCCACGTGGCCAACGGATTCACGAACTCCTGCTGCTCCAACACCTTGTTCCTCATCTTCGTTGTGGTATCTACTTTGTTGGGACCCATTCTCCCCCTGGACAGAAGGAGCTGTACTTTGAGCCCAGCTACCCGCCACTTCCGAGGTGATGAGGTCTGCTGTCCTAATTGTCCCTCCTACTTCCGTATCATCATCCATTCTCTTCTCATCTTCAGGGATGGGTTCCACTCTCTCATCAGTTTCTTGTACTTGGGGGTCCTCGTCATCAAGCTGCATTGTATCCCCAGCAGCTAAAGAGCCGATCTTACTAATTACAGGGCTCTCAGTTTCAAGAACTTGCTCCGTACCAATGGGGTCACCATCAAGAGCTGGTGCAGTGTCAACGTCAACATCAATATTGGAGCCAAAGCCACCCTTGACTTGACAATCACCACTTGTGAACTCTTCACCTTGTGTATTCTGGTCATCACCACCTTGACTTCTGATATCACAGTCGTGCTTTTCAGTTGCGCTTGCTTCATCATCAGAGCTAGCAGCTCGATTTCTATCAGAACCCCTAGCATTTATTCCATTGTGATAACGAGATTGCTTGTCTGCTACCACATCATCTTGGTGCCCATCATGTAGTACATTATTTATGTCAAGATCTAGTGACCCAGTTTCGTAATCCTCCTCGTCTTCCAGAGTCTTCTGCATCGCCTTCAGTTGTTGTTGCTGCTTAGCAAAGAGTACAGATATCTCCTCAGTTGTAGAGTAAAATGCTCTCAGCTGTGTTTCCCTGCAAAGACCAACAAATTTAGAGATGGCAGTACATTGAAATGAGCAACCAATACATATGCTACACATACCATTTAGCAAACACACAGAAGAAAAAGAAAAAAGATGAGCAAACAGATCCAGTTGATAATTCCTTGCCTGAGCATAATTCTTTCTCTAGCACCTTTTAATCTCCGCCTCTCAAAGTCAAGGTCATGCACAGCCGAGTTTATCTCAAGTTCGAGGGCTGATACTTTAGCCCATGCTTCCTCTCGAGCAGCCTGCTAACCAACAGCCAAATAATATCTCAGCTTAGAGTGAACTTTGCTTCAACACCAAGAGAAAGCCAGCTAGTAGGTAGTAGAATCATAATACGGTTAATTTTCACCACCATAACCTAACCTCAATCAGAATCTAAATGTAGCATAAATGAAAGCTCATACAACTTCCAAATTTCAAATGCTTGCTGAAAGAGCAGATAAAGTGAAGTCCAACAGCAACTCGCTTTAAAACATTCAACATAGGTCTAACAACACCAAAAAAAATTCAAGATACTTCCTTCAGAGACACACCCATAACTAACTAGAGCAACTAGGAAGCAGCTTTTCAAATTCACACTTACCAGCATTACAAACAGGTGAACTCTAGATTTCAGATTTCAGAAGGTAAAGTTCAACAAGGACGCTGCGCATGACAGCATAAAACCCCCCATGATACTATTTTAAGATTTAAAATAAAACTCAAATATATACCTTTTCACTGTCCAGCTCCTTTCTCGATCTTCTCAATTCTTGCTCAAGTTCGTCTATCCTCTGGCTCCAGAAAAAAAAAAGGTTGATGCGTCACATGAGTAGAATGTTATAATTTCTATGTAGCAGTACCTTAAAATATACATAATTCCCTTAGGGGTCGTTTGGATGCAGCATTTCCATGAGGCAAAATTGCCTCAAAATGCAGCAAGTGGATCAAATAACCTGGTTTGGCAACACAAACTGGTGATGCAGCAATTTGGTCAAGGCAATTTGAATTGCCTCATTTTGCATCAATGGCAGTTGACGCGGGTAATAATGCATCTTTTGTGAGATGAGGCAATCGTGAGGCACTTGGGTCAAATTGCCTCATTTCAGAAATCCACCATTATTTAGTTTAGTTTAACCAAAATTAATACCTTTCTTCCATTTGCAGACGTAATCTGCTCTTCAGAAATTTGAGCTTCCAGTTGGCGAATTCTTTTATCAGATATGACTGACTTTTGTCTTGCTTCCTCCTGTTAAAACAAGAAGAAAGAAACTGAGGCACAGATCTTAAAGTCCGAGAAACTCCACGGGAAAGACAACGTCGACATACCAGTTTGGGCCTCAAACTTTCAACCTGTGAGCACCACTTCTTCTCTCTTTCTTGAAGCTTATTGATTTCTTCTTGAAGCTCTTTTTCCCGATGTGCAGCAGTATCAGATAATGCCTTGATTTCTTCTTGAGCTTCAGATTGAACTTTCTGAACTGCCACCTTTAAATCTGAAGCGCCCTTTAGTCGCTCTTCTTTTCTCTGATCTCGTTCTTCTTCCAGTTGCGCTTCAAGCTCAGCTATGGATGCCTTTTGGCTAAACATGAGAATCCAGGCAAGGAACTTATTAGCATCAGAACTCAAATGTTCGCATGAAGGCATAAATGTCCAGTTCCTTTTCCCCTTGCAGCTTTTACCGGCACTAGATGCGCCCTCGTAATTTTGGAGAGACATAAAGAACATAGGGCAACAGAAGTAGGTTTATTTACAGCCCTCCTTACTTTTTTACTTCTAGCATTGTACATATATTGATGAGACATGCCCACCCCACATTGACCTTATGCAAGTTCGAATTATATCTCTACATGGACCATCGGTCAAAAGACAAATTAGGAGATTTAAAAAGAGTATGGGAGCATTCAAGATGGATTAAAATGGCTTTACTAGCAAGGCCTACAGGTTAATTGAGAATCGGAGATTTCCAACAACAATCCCTGTCCAACAAGGATTTGGAGGAGATGCTTAATTGCTGTCCACGTTGGGTTAGGAGTCTTATATTATATTTGCTTTATTGATTTTCTAAGTACGAATGCTATTTATTTCCTAGTAGTAGAGTGATTAATTTTCAGTTTCCTAGGTGTAGAAGGAAGTTTTTTCTTTTGGGTTAGCCTCTCTATATAGAAGGCTTTTAGTTCAGTTTTTATGCATTCAGCATTCAGATTTCAATAAGAGTTTCCAAGATTTGCAAGAGATATTTCTTTGAGATTTCTTAGGCTTATCAACCCCTTGGCTGTGGCGTCTAGCCCTGAACGTTATCACCGACAAGTGTGTTGGTTTTTCCTCCATCTAACCTACCCAAACCCCTAAATTTCCCACTTCCTTTCAATTTCCAGCAACCCTAGCTATATTATTCTCATTTAGAGCAGCTTAGGCACATCAGATGTAGTCAAATTTAAGACAAAAAATATGAATGGTTCTTTCCAATAATGAAAGAAGATATTGTCAGGAGAAGAACAAACTTTTACCTTTTCATTATTTCATTTGCTTCTTTACATGAATGCCTGGATGCTGCAAGTCTTTCATCAAGGTCTTCTAAGGTGCGTTGTCGATCAGCTGATATTCTACTGACCTCACTCCTCTCATTGCGTTCCACTTCCAACGTATCCTGCAGTTTCTTCAGTTGATCAATGTATGAATTTGCAGTAAATTCTTTCACCTCTTTCATTTCCTGCAATGTAAACCACAAAGCTTATTGAAAACTGATACATGATGCTGCGTCACTACTTAGCCAAGAGGTAAACAAGATAACTGACAACCCTGGAAGACAGTGTGAGAATCCGTCAAATAACTGACGCCCAAGTATAAATTCACTGATGGTAAGTTTTATAGTGAAAATCCATCAGTTAAAAAACAACCCCAAAATTAACATAATGCTAGGCCGATTGAAAAGTTCAGAAACAGTTAGAAGTATCAAATCTAACATACAATGAAAGAAAATGATCTCATCAAAGTACTTGAGCTGGCAGCTCATTGGTTTTAGAAAAGAACTTCAGAATAAGCCAAAATCTTTCAGAAAATTTGAGTGCTATCATAATAATGGCATGCCTTGCATTTGATCCACCACAACCTACACTAGCCCCATCTGAGAACACCTAGAGCATGCAGACAGATTCACCTAACACATTTAACTAGAGAAGATAGCTATTGCTTGGCATCCAAAAGCAAGTGAGAGATACAAGAAAAATCTTTAAGAAAAACATACATTTTCATGACGCTCCATGGTTGACCGAAGTTCTTTCTGTAATGAGTCAATTGTAAGAACATGGCCTTCAACGTGCTTCCTCAGTTCCTGATTCAATTAGCCTATGGATTCAGTGGCTGTGCACGACGATTGAATGGTTATGTTCAGAACTGATCCAACAGATGAAACTCAAAGTACCGTGTTAGACCGCTGAAGACTTTTGAAATCGTCAAGAGATATAGGACCATCAGGAGCGCCAATGCCAAGACCTTTAATTCTCTTACATTCCCCATGAACTTCTTCTGAAAAAAAGAATAAAGCTGAAATCATCTTCTATAACATTGCATAACAATATAATGTACAAGAAAACATATGAATCCAAAAAAATAGAGAGTTAGTTGCTTAAAGTACCTGCTTTTCTTTTTGCATTTGCACTGTTCACCGTGGGCATGGGATTCAGTACTTCACGATATACAAAGGCAAAGGCAAGCTCTGTGATGGTTCAACAGCAGAGCAACACAGCAAGGTTTTTCAGAATAGCCATGAGTCAATCATAAGAACGTTTTTTCTTCCCAGAAAAGAATGAAAGGAGAACATGTTCATGTACAAAAAGGCAGAGTACTTATTTCCAAAATTGTTACGTCATAAAATAACTGCCACAGTATGTAAAAAGCAAATGAGAGGATTGAAGACCAAGTAACAGTCCACGGTAAGGCAAGAGGGAATAAAAATTGCTGGATAGAGGCATGGTGGCATGGAGCAATATGAATTTGATAAAAATGTTCCCAAAGCCAGAGCCACATTACCATGCTGAGGAGTAGCAGCAAATGATACGATGTCCCCATGTTGGATTTTAGCTTCAGGGCCGCCCTTAGTCAACTTTTCCCAGTTAAGATAGGTCCCGTTGGTGCTACATAATCAGAAGTTCAATCAAACAAACGAGGGGTATAGCAATGAAAAGCAAAGGAGAAACATTTTAGAAAGTTACTAATAAACAACCTAGTATCTTTGAGAAAAACAGCCATGAAGGGACGGTTCGAATCTTCTCCCAAGACTCTTTTCCTATATATTCTGCAGTGATTTCCACTAACCGCATTTGATTCAATTCGAAAACGCTTGTCTTCTACCGATCGGCCAAAGCAGTGTACATCCCCAGTCAAGACAATGTTCATCCCCTGCTACGATCATCACCCATTCCGTTCAAATTCTTACAATTTTCAAGGGACAAACAGGAAGAAGAAAAACCCACAAAGATGTACGGAAAATACGATTCAGCTGTGCATGAAGCAGGTGAAAAGGAAGCATGCGATTAGAGAGCAAAGGGTTAGTGTGTAACCTGGTGCCGTTTGCGGGCGTTATCTGAAATGGCAGTGAGAACCCCCCAGACATTAGGGTCAGGGTTGGAGAGGGTCTGAGAAGAGAGATTAGAGGCGACGGAGAGGATGAACTCCCGTTTGCTCAGCGGCTTCTTGGGAGAAGCGTCGTCGTCGCCGCCGTTGGGAGTGGGACGAGAAGCCGAGGAAGGCTGTGAAGAGATCAGCGGGGGTCCGGGCTTTTCAACGGCGGCCATAGGAGCGCCGGGACTTAATTCCTCGATTAGCATAGCAAAGGGAGTTACAGGATCAGAGTGTGGAGGGCGGTGAAATTGGCGGTAAGTTTTGAAGCCCTAAGACCGGCTTCTTTCTTCTTTATAGGTGCTCACAGTAGACGAATGGGGTTGGGAGGGACTGGGGAGGCTGTGAGAGCTGATGTGTGTATCTGTCAGCGTCAGAGAAAGAAGCTTGCTTCGGAAGATTGGCAATTCACAATCACAGGTCCCCTTCAGTTCCGCCGTCAGGGACATGCACAGTGGTGCTCGTGGCTCGATTATTTGGAAGGCCGGATGATACTATTAGCCCCTTCGTTGCTGGGCCTTCTACAGTCGGATACAAGAGCTATTTACTAGACCATGCTGAATAAAAGCCCAACGCTCTTCATTCTTATATCGGGGTTTTGACTTTTGACAAGAAGATTTCTCATGTCGGGGAACCGGAGAAGGATAGTTCATAGGTGTGTAGGTGTGAATCGGGCGGGTTTGGGTTTGGGTTTGGATTTGAGTCGGGTTCAATCAGGTTGCGGGTTAGTTGGGTTTGGGTTCAATTGGTTTGCGGGTTAGTTGATAGACCGTTAATTACACATGTTTTTACCCCTGTTCTTACACCGTTTGAGATGTGATTTCTCGTGTTTTAGGCCGATTTCACGCTAGGTTGTGCTTGTTTGTGATATTTCAGGTCCTAATACGTGAATGGAGGCTTGGGAGCGAGTTTGGGGTCGATTGGACGAAGATCGTACGCGTGGCGAGGTGCTGAGGAAGCCACACGGGCATTCCTGGACATTACACGGCCGTGCAAATCATGCTTGTGGCCGTGTGATTTGTGCCGAGAGCAAACACGGGCAGAGCAGAATTTCCACATTAGTCTTGTAACCCTGGCCGTGTGGGAAGCCTGAAATTCAACTAATCGATATGCAACGTTTGGAAGCCACACGGACAACTGGGTGAGCCACATGGCCGTGTGGCCTGCCCGTGTGAGTTGGGAAATCTTGGTTTTTACCCAATTCCGAGCCACAAGTGAGAGAATCGGATTTTCAGAGCAAAAACAGAGTTTTAGAGAGAGAAAGAGCGAAGAACAAACCCTAGGAGCTATTTGGAGTGGATTTCTCACCATTTAAGCCCAGATTGCGTCCCCAGGAGTAAAGATTGACATCCCATAGCAGATTTTCCTCATCTTTATGAGTATGACTACTCTGATTTCTGTTTTCCTCTCTCTCTCTATGGAGTAGAACCCTTCTCTCACTTGGGTATGAAGAACCCTAGTTCCATGTGTTAGGGATTTGATTGTAATGACTTGGGATGATTATACTGTTTGGTTTTAATCGAATGATGCATGTTTAATTCAATTGATTGAAGTCTGATCAGCTTTTCTTGATTTCTGCTGCAACCTGAGATAGATAGAATCTGATTAGGTTGTTAGAGCTTCTTCATTCGATAGTAGGAGATTGGTTATACGAGAGTTAGCCAGTCTACTGCTTTGTACTGGAATCCAATTCCAGTAGTGGAGTTCTGTGCTCATAGCCTCAGCTTTCTAGTCCGGTGAAGACTAGTCGTCTGTCGGGTAGTTAGACCGAGAGGGCTTGGTCAGCTTAAGAGATTCCAAGCTACTGTCGGATCTTCCGCAGTCTAATCAACAGTAAATCAATCCAGGGTAATTACAATTGAACCTAACTAAGGAGCTAGGGGGACTCATTTCCCGAGTGACTCTTCCCTGCTTCAGAAAACCGAACCATTTCCTGCTTTTTACTGCTTTTGCTTTAAACAACAATCACTCGACTTAGTTGGCTAGATAATAGATAATCACGGAGTAGGCAGTAGATCTAGACCCTGGGTTGATAATAGAACTTGCCTGTTACTGCATTCCCGGACTGCGATTACACTTGGTCGCAGTTTGGTATTGTGTTTTGGCGTGTCAAGTTTTTGGCGCCGTTGCCGGGGAACCTCTAGGTTATTGGGGAAACGTGAGAATTTGTTACTCTAGCTTTTTCTTTACTGCATTGTTTTCTCTTCCACCTATGTGCCTTCACGGGTTGCTTTTGCTGGTTGTGTGCAGGTAGTGCATGACCCGTAGCCAGTCAGGAGAACTACTACCATTAGACCAGGAGCTTGAACGGACCTGCAAGAACTTCAAGCGGGCTCTAAAGGCGCGACTGGCTGCGGAGGAGGCGCTAGCACAGCTGCAGATCACTGACGAAGAGGAGATGGCTGATCCAGAGAACCAGGATGTGATCAATCCAGAGGAGCAGACCATGGGATCCTACTGGTCACCCATTCAACAGCCTCATGTCCCAGCCAACAATTTTGAGGTGAGCACCTCAGTAATCACCATGCTGCGCGGTTCAGTGGTGTTCCGTGGCAAGGAGGGTGAGTGCCCCCGATCGCATCTGAGGAGATTCCACGAGCTGATTGATGGAATCAAGATAAATGGGGTCCCAGCAGATGCCATCCAGCTGAGGTACTTCCCATTTACTCTGGAGGGGCAGGCAAAGGAGTGGCTAGACACTCGACCTCCGGGCTCTATCACCACGTTCGCCAACCTGGCGGACAAGTTCCTCACCCGCTACCATCCTCCATCCAAGACGGCTGACCTGCAGAAGCAAATTACCCATTTTGCTCAGGATGAGTATGAGACCATCAGGGATGCTTGGGAGAGATACACCAGTCTCTTCCTCAGGTGTCCCAATCATGGCTTCAATGATGCTTTCAAGGTGGGCACCTTCTATCACGCCCTCTTCCCGGATGACAAGCAGCTGATTGACTCGATTTGTGGCGGGAACATGTTGACCAAAACACCGCCACAGCTGAATCAACTCTTTGAGGAGATGGCAGAGAACGAGTATGATTGGGGAACTTCCAGGAGATCGAGATGAGCACCAGGAAGGGGTGTGCATGCTGTGGGCACCCAGTCATTTGATTTGGTGCAGGTGGTATCGAAGCTGGTTTCAGCTATCGATCGCTCTGGATTGATTGCAGGTACAGGACAGCCGGAGGCGATGCACTGCCAATGGTGTGAGAGCTCCCATCACACCGTAGAGGACTGTCAGGCGATGAGGTAATCGTCTATTCCCCAGGAGCAGGTGGACTTCATCAGTAATGCCAGGCGCTTCGACCCCTACAGCAACACTTATAACAAGGGGTGGCGCCAGCATCCTAACTTTTCTTGGGCTGGGGCAAATCCCAGACCACCAGCTCCCCAGGGACCACCCGGCTTCCAGAGGCCTCCTCACCAGCCCAGACAAGGGCAATTTCAGCAGCCGCAGCAGCCTCTCTACCCGCCCAAATAGGGGCCAGTTCCACCTCAGTCACAGGTGCGACCATTTCATCAGACAGGGGCAGCACCTGCAGCCCCAGTACAGGTTGACCCGATGGCGGAATTGAGAGATTTGGTGGGTTCTCTGGCCACCTACAGTGCAAACAAGTTCAATAACATCGAGCAGTTCATGGAGAAAGCTTTAGGTAAATTCTTGGAGCTAGAAGCTGGTCAGAGAAACACACAGGCTGTGCTGCGGGATATACAGACTCAGCTTGGGAGTGTTGCCCAGGCTGTAGCTCAGAGGACTCCTGGCACCCTACCCGGTCAGACCATCCCTCATCCGCAGAACCCGAATGAGCACTGCAATGCCATCACAACCAGGAGTGGGAAGATGACTGTTGATCCACCTGTTCGGGAACAAGAGAGAGAGACCCCTGTCTTAGCATCTCCAGCGGTTGAAGAAGAAGCAGAGAAGGAGGTTGAGCTGCCTGCACCTAAGCCGCAACCTGTAGTGAAGGAGTATATCCCGAAACTCCCCTTCCCTACTCGGTTGCACAGAGACAGGCTGGAGGCAGAGTTCGAAAACTTCATGTCCATGCTTAGGAAGCTGAATGTCCAAGTGTCCTTCCTGGAGGCACTATCTCAAATGCCTAAGTATGCGAAGTTTTTGAAAGTGCTTCTCTCAAAGAAGCAGAAGCTGAGTGAGCTGGCCACTGTGGAGCTCAGCGAGGAGTGCTCGGCTATTCTGCAAAACAAGTTTCCGCAGAAGCAGAAGGACCCAGGTAGTTTCACTATCCCGTGCTCTATAGATAAATTGCATGTAGAGAGGTCCTTGGCGGATTTAGGTGCTAGTATCAATGTTATGCCGTATAAATTGTTGAAGAAACTAGACCTAGGTGAACCCCGTGCTACTAGGATGAACCTTCAATTGCTAATACTCTACCTGCTTCGTCACCTCTGCATGCTGTATCTCACTAGGAGCACGAGTCTGTCGTGTATCCTTCTGTGTTTCCTATTTTGCAGGATCCACCCCCCATACCTTCGCCGCCACTCCCGTCCACACCGTCACCAAAATAACAGATCAAGGAGGAGTGGCGGCCGAAACTGCAGGCAGCTGAGCCTGCTCGAAAGAAAGCCGGAGACCACTACGAGCTGGTCCCGCCCCCACCTTGGCCATCCGAGCATTCACTCGCTTGCATCTTGCCGGATGGCCAAGTCGAGTTGGCGAATGCTGGTGGCCACATTCGTCGTGTGCATGGCCACCATTTGAAGCTGTACCTCAAGAGCGATGTGGATCCGCTCTTGAAGGCACCTGACCCTACACTTCTCTGAGCATCCACCCACTGGCGTCCAGCTAAAAGACGGTAACCCCACCGAGGTTTGCATTTTCTTACTTTTTTCTTTTGTTTTTTCTTTTGTGTTTTTTGAGTCTTGAGGTGTTGTTCCAGAGTTGAATGTCATTTTTTAGTGAAAACAGGTTGAATTCGGGGCTCCAGCAGTTCACACGGCCAGGCCTAAAACTCACACGACCGTGTGGATTTTATCCCTTGGTCGTGTGAGCTCTCGGCAAATTCCACACGGCCAAATGTGCAATTGGCATGGCCGTGTGGCTTGGCCTGGCCTGGTCGTGTGGCCGACACGGGCATCTCATATGCTCGCACGGCCGTGTGGATTTTACCCCTAGGCCGTGTGAGCTCTCGGAAAATTCCACACGGCCAAATGTGCAATTCACACGGCCGTGTGGATCTCCTCGGCCTGGCCGTGTCGGCCAACACGGGCACGACCTGCCAGTGGCGTAGCCAGGATTTCACTTAAGATGGGTCCGACGTAAAAATAAAATTATATAAAATGAATGAAATTACCTATAACGCGTTTCATAGTATGTCGACATATTTTCGTTGGAAAGTGGATAATTTGATAATAAATTAGAAATTAGTAAATTTATAATACATAATTAGGGACACAATTTATATAAACTCAAGAGTTAT